GAAAACCGTACAAAAATAATAATAATCTTCGACAGAAATTGTTCGTTTCCCGTTAACGCTGCGACGTCGTATAATAACGAAATCAAATGGAAATTTATGCGCGAGCAATTGCCGTTAAATCTGCGCCGAAATATTGAACATTAAGTTTTTTCCCCGTGAAATTTTCCCAAACCGTATAATCCACGGCGCGCAGGGTGGTATCCAGATCGCGAAAATCAATCGATGGTATCGCGATGCGCAACATTTTCGTTCCTGAAACATGATTGACGGGCAAATAAGCATCGCGAAGTCCAGGGAACCAGTTCGTAATTGATACGGTATCGAAATTTATTGGCCGGCGTAATCACAGCCGTACGAAGGGGGAGAGTCCGGGCCTCTCGTAGCTGTCCCTCTCGAGGATCCGTTCGGCAACACGCGTGAACCGCATAAACAACCAGTGCCCGGACTTAACGAGGATTTATAAAACGGCGGTGATAAGATCGCGACGGATACGCCGCTCTCTCCTAATATGAATTTTAATTTCTGTCAGGCTTTAATTAACCCCCGCTAGCCCTATAATTTTCTCGACGTTGAATAATTGTCTACCTGTCGCAACTTAGTTCGCGCTTCTTCCCCTCCCCCCCGTCGTTGCCTACGACCACCTTTCCCTCCGCCATTCTCTCTTCTCTCGGCCACATCCCTCCTTTCACTCTTTCCCTTTCCCTCGCGGGAAGTGCACTCCGCCAACGAAGAAATTGCAGTAAGATAAATTAGCAAGAATGAAGTGGACCCTCTCGCTGTCTGTTCGCTCTTTTGTACCCTGCTCTCTTTTTCCTTATTTATTTCTTATATATACATACCAGTATATCTATATTTATATATATATATACAACAATATGTACATACATATATATATATATATATTGTTTTTGTCTGTTCTCGTTACTCGTTCTTTTGTACCCTTCGTTTCTATTACGTTGTAACCAGCGACGCGTATTGTTCGAGGCAGGCAACAAGGGTAGCGCCGGGGAGAGGGTGAAGTGACTGTGTTACGCGCTCTTGGCAGGGATTGTACCGCGGGAGGTGACGCCATACTTTTGCTGGAGGTAGTACGCGACCCACCTCCCCTTTTTCTCCCTAAACCCTCCTAGCCACCCCGTGTTACGGAGGGCGGGTGAACCAACGAGTGGAGAGAGAGAAAGATAGATAGAGGGTGGATGGGGGTGGCACGAAGGTTCTCATATTTCCTGTATTTTAATTTTTCACGATATCCAGCGCGGCGTGCCGCTGTCTGCAAATTATTTGTCGGCTCTCCTCCGAGTTCAACCCCCTCGCTCCCATCCGCTCGCGACACGCTTCGAGACACTCGTTGTTTCTTTCCGCGATTCCTCCGTTTGAGACGCGTCTAAGGACCGGCGACGCGATCGGCTCGGCGTGACTGGCCGGATCGATAGAACGCGTCGAGGATGCAGCCGAAAATCGAGACATCTGCGGGATTCCAAACTTATCGCTTCGAATCGTCGTCGACAGTCTGCCTAACCGATTCTTTACTACAGTTCCCTTAAAAATAAAAGATTAACTCTTGTCAGATGACAGTATCTTCGAACGATCCATCGTATTTCATTGGACAAGCAAGGATTGAAAATCAAGTCGGCAGAATCCATTCAATGCTTCTCATTTCCACTGCGCTCGATATAATAAGTGGGATAAAATTCCTCGAGGACAGTTCTCAAGACAAATCTCGGCCGAGGAACGTGTTCAAATATCATCATAGAAAACCATCCCCCGTCCACCGTTCCCCACCCCCGAAAAAAAGACAAATAAAAGGGACCTTTTGACTCGAGATCGATGTTAACTAACGGCCGTCAACTTTTCTCCGGGCGGCGTGGAAAAAAGTTCGTTGAGAACCACTCGAGCCTCGTGCACCCCCTCCCTCCGCTTCTCCTCCTTGCTTCTCGGGGGTTCGGGGGTTGGCAGCAAGGAGAGCGAGCGAGACGGTGCACGCTGGCGGGGCAGGGGGATTGGCCTATAGGTGTAGGTAGAGAAAACGAGTGATAGAGAGAAAGAGAGGGCAGAATGGGAGGACGGGGTTGGCGATCCGTCGGGA